TTTAAACAACAAGTATGACAAAATATGCCTAAGCATAATGCTTCTTCCAATATTTCTCATTGATAGTGAGCATTGGATAAGATCCATCTGCATCAATCAACAATGAAGGTAGTTCAATTTTAGATGGGAAGAGCGTTTCAGATATGGAGGTCAGCATACGAAGCACAAAATAGGTGGGTGGCAAACTAAAGAGAAGGCAAATCAACTTCCAAGGGAAGGACTGCCTAGACTCGGAGGTCAACACATGAACCGTAGAATAGGTGAGCGTACAATGTGTCGAACAATATACCCATGATGAAGGCAAGTCAACTTCCAAAGAAATAACATTATCGAACCTGAAGGCCAATGCATATAGCGTAAATATAGATGATTGTACGATATATTGTACAATATGCTAGCAAAGCTTCTAATAACTTTCGATGCCATTCATATTTTTTATCAGCATGCAATAATTTTAATTAAGCTTACCAATTTTTTTTCAAAAGCCTCAACCAAGCCGTTATAAAAAATGATTTGTTGTGACATACCAAATTGATCTAGTGTTGATATCTCTCATGTGGACTCCCTAATTCATTACCAGATTCAACATGTCAATACATGATTAGCAAATTTTAAGTCAGAGTTGGGACTTCCTTAAGTACCATTTTCCCTAAACCTTTTCCCTTAGTAAGCCTCTTCATTCTTATTCAAGTGTTATATATTTTTTTGGAAATGTCTTTAAATCAATTACTAATCCATCAACCATATCAATTTCACATAACAATTCCCCGGACATAATAACTTATGGATCTTATTATGAGAGTTTTTTGACATTAAAATAATTAGAAGAGTCTTTATATTACTACTAATTTTTTGCTCACCTCAAGCTTCTTCTCAATAATGTGACTAGTTATTTCATATCTAAAGCCTTTCACACATTTTATTTTCCTAAGAATTACTATATTTAGTTGAGCTCCTTTTTTTTCTTAAATTTTTTTGAAAAAATTTATTTCTTTGAATGTCAAACCTATTCTGATTTCTAAGTTGCAAAATTCTCTAAATATAATTCCACAACATATCTTAATTCATCACTTGTTAAGCTCCATATGGCTTAGTAGAATAGAAAAGTAAATGATTTAAATGGTCTTTAAAAACTACTCAAATTTTAGTGATACCAAATTAATCATTCTAAGGCTTTCTTAGGGTTCAGAAGAAAGTTTGTTAAAATGAAGGATTCATTCATCAAGACTTAATTTGAATAAACAAAGCCATGAATATCTATAAATCTCAAGAAATTGCACAGATGATCTAGTTAAATCCATCCTTAGCATCCATCCTCGACACCACCTTGGGGTACACTTAAGGTGGATCTAAGATGAGATCAACTGAGGGCATGACTTCTTCTAGAATCACTTCTACAACCTACTTAACTGGAGCCAAAACATCAAGAGATGCAGTGGTAGGAGGTTTCCTAATCCATTGACTCTTGGTAAAAAATGAGAAATTCCCTGGTTAGATAAGCAAAATGGTCTAACCGATAAGGTTGAATGTCGAGGTATTTCGAGAAGTCATGAACTGATTATATAAGCAAAGTTCTTAACTGATGCAACAAGACTTTTGACAAGGTGATTAAAATCAACTATGTCAAACCAAAATATAAACAAGTTTGGATAGATAAAGTGGTCCAACCCGTAATGATGCTCTTTCAACAAGATAAACCAATGAGTCGACAAGGTTCTTATTGAGTGAGACTTGATATCTTAGTCAGGTAGCTAAAAATTCAAGGTAGCCTACTTTAGTATTTGCTAGACAAATGAGGTGGTTTAGCGATGAGATGCTCAAATAAAAAAATTAGCAAAAGAGGTAAGGTGTTTGATTGAATGAGACACTCTCAAGTAGTCAAGGAGATGTGTATCCCGACTAAACATCAATCAATTAGATAAACACAATGTTCTAACCGATACAACATGTTTTCAACAAGAATTTTTGGGGATATCCCTTTATTAGATTATGAAACATTCATTTCATTCTTGCTCGATGAAGAAAAAAGGTGAGCTAAAGCACACTTATTTTTATTCTTCAAAGCAAAGACAAGTATACCATTACCTTAAAAAACATCCACAAAACACCATTGAACAATTCTTCATGCTTCTATCAATTTCCCAAAATCGAAAGTTCATTTTCCTGGTTTTGCATCAAAACCGCGCATCCGAGTAAAGGCACTCCACCTAAACTAACTAAAACAAAAATAAAAAAAATGGATCATATAGAGAGGCCATAAACCAAGAAGACATTTATAACCTCCAAATTCCACATATGCCATACAAATCAAATTCCAAATGCCACAAATTCTAATTCCAGCCATCCCAGAGCCTTCAAATTTCAAATTTATTTATTCCATGGGCCACAAACAGAAAAAAGAAGTCACAAAAAAGCCTAAAACTACAAACCAACTAGAGAAAAGAGCACAAACAACAAAAAAAAAGGTAGAGGGCATCAAAATCCAAAATCTCATCCTCCTCATAGTATAATAACGATTTCACATGTAGAGCAAAGACAACAGCCACACAAGCCAAATCAACCACAAATTGCTAAAATAAATGATAGAGGATATTTTGGGAGAGGGAGGGAAGAGCATTTCTTATGACACAGATGGGGGAGAGGAGATAACCTAAGGGCAAAGATGCGTGAGAGGCAACAAAGACGAGAGTGCCTCTGCTCGAGAGGGGCAGAGAAGCGAGAGATACAAAGACACGAAGGAGCTAGAGCAGAGACACGAAGAAGCTAGGGCAGAGACATAGGAGGCAGGGAAGGGAAAAATGAAATAAGTCACACAAACCGCAGGGTGTTGCTCCCAGCTCACATATACATCCACTTCCTCAACAAAGCTGTCGCGCCACTATTTCCAAACGAGAGAATTTGCGGCTCAAAATTGCACTGCTCAGTAAATGCAGCACCAAACGAACCCATAATGGAACAAAAAGGAGAAATTTCACTAATACTTGAGAATAGGTATGTTACTCATGAACTAGTGCTAATGCATAGGAAAAATTTTTCTCATTCACTGGATGTAGGAAACTTACTAGAAGATTTTCCCAAATTAACACCACCAAAAGGGGGCTAAGGAAGACACTTATTCTTATTAAACACCAACATTTGTCAATTCACCTAACCTAGGTTTCTAAGATTCAATTCAGAAGGGGAGGGAACACTTCTCTCAAAGAAAACTCTTCGCAAGACTCAAATAGGAGCACTAGCTTTAATTGAAATAATAATAATAAAAATTGAATCTTCAAGCTAGGCTTGACATCTGTATACTGAAACTTTTCTGTTTGGAATTTGGCTCATTCCCCATCTTATGACACAGATGGGGGAGAGGAGATAACCTAAGGGCAAAGATGCGTGAGAGGCAACAAAGACGAGAGTGCCTCTGCTCGAGAGGGGCAGAGAAGCGAGAGATACAAAGACACGAAGGAGCTAGAGCAGAGACACGAAGAAGCTAGGGCAGAGACATAGGAGGCAGGGAAGGGAAAAATGAAATAAGTCACACAAACCGCAGGGTGTTGCTCCCAGCTCACATATACATCCACTTCCTCAACAAAGCTGTCGCGCCACTATTTCCAAACGAGAGAATTTGCGGCTCAAAATTGCACTGCTCAGTAAATGCAGCACCAAACGAACCCATAATGGAACAAAAAGGAGAAATTTCACTAATACTTGAGAATAGGTATGTTACTCATGAACTAGTGCTAATGCATAGGAAAAATTTTTCTCATTCACTGGATGTAGGAAACTTACTAGAAGATTTTCCCAAATTAACACCACCAAAAGGGGGCTAAGGAAGACACTTATTCTTATTAAACACCAACATTTGTCAATTCACCTAACCTAGGTTTCTAAGATTCAATTCAGAAGGGGAGGGAACACTTCTCTCAAAGAAAACTCTTCGCAAGACTCAAATAGGAGCACTAGCTTTAATTGAAATAATAATAATAAAAATTGAATCTTCAAGCTAGGCTTGACATCTGTATACTGAAACTTTTCTGTTTGGAATTTGGCTCATTCCCCATGGATCAACACACACAACTTAATTTCATATATACAGATATGACACGTATAGTATGTGAGTTGCGAGTACTTCACCGCTTGGTTTGTATCAGACGTCTTGATAGCTTTTATTTTGATAGTATCAACCTTTGAAACATAATATACAACATTAAGATTTAAATAAATTGATGTTAATCAAATTACTTTTTTCTGCAGTTTTTATTGCTATTATTATTATTATTATTTTTTCTTTTTCTTTTTATGTATTTGCTTTCCTTACCCTCTCTATTAATTAAATTAATTTTTTAATAACTAGACTAATATTTTGATCATACTTTATCAATACTTATTCTACATTATAATTAGTAAATTCAGACTTTACCGGAGCAAATTTTTATTTTCTAGATTAGAGTTTTACCCTGAAACAACAAACGAACAAAATTACCCCCAATCGAGTAAGCCTGTTGCAGCATACACAAATGCTAGGGCAACAGACAGATTGAAGACAAGCCCAAACCCTCCTACTCTTGCGTATATGATTGAGCTTGGTCAACTCCCCTCGCACCGCATAGCTTTGACGCTTGCTCATCCTCATCCAAACTGATAGACACTCTTGTGCTGACAGATTTTAGAATTTTGGATACTCACAAAAATCATAAATAGGCCTCGTGGTCTCCACACAAGGGAGATGAAAAGCAAAGCATAGCTTAGAAGGGAACAAAGGTCAATCAGTTTGTGCCCCTTCAAGAGCTTCCACATTTTTAACATCTTTGACATTCTCTTCTTTTTCTTCTTTTTTGAATAGCCTCAATTGTTTCCCAAACAACTTGCCGATCAAGTTCTCATTTGCAACATCAATCTTATCCATCCATATTTTGATTATTTTGCAGGTAAGAGATTCAGAAAGCGTGATTTAAGGAAGATATAACATGACTTTGCCGAAGTGGCAATTCCCTAGCCCTTTCTCATTAACATACATGCAAAATAACATTATTTTTTCAGGATATGATCAATATAAACATTAATAATCTTACAAACAAGACAAAACTGTCAAGTAAAATGCGCCATAGTCCAAACATGACGCTTTCGTACCTCAAATATAACTTCATAGGAATAAATGTTTAAATTGCCGGCAATCTTCAAAGCTTGGAAACCCACAAAACTGTTCCTCCCAATGAAACTATGCGCATTCCTTTTCAAGTCTGGATTAACAAATGAATATACAGTGAAGCCAGCAACTTGAGCTGTGTGCAGTGGCTAGTCCGAGTTAGAGTCTGATAACAGTTGATTAGCATCTTTTGGTTCTGCATCAGTGATGGATGGTGTCACATTGCGGCTTGATCCTCCTTTCCTTCTACGATTAGACGGATTTCTTGGTGCTGATTTACCGTCACAATCCTGAGAAAAATAATTTTACTGCGTTTAACAGCCAGCAGAAAAAGTACGAGAAATAACACAATCAAAATCTATGAAAACATCACATAACTACGTACTAGGAATGTAGATACAAAAACAGGATATAGTACTTAGAATATTTTGGAAGCGCAGATCAAAAAGAAATTCTATCTTATTTTCTATTTCGTAAAACTAAAACGAAACATAAAGACTTTAGGACTCATTTAGGATAACTTATGATTTCAATACTTAGTTTTTATTTTTACGTTTATTTTAAAAATGTTGCATTTTTTACATGTTTTTTAATTTATTTAAAATAAATAAAAAAAAAATATTTTTAAAATACTTAACATCTAAAAATTATTTTGAGTATTTTCAAAACCAATTAAAAAATTTATAATACATCAAAAATATTTTCTTTAAATAAAAAAAAAAAAACATAAACAAAATAAATAAAAATAAAAATCAAAAGTAATCCCAAACAATCCCTTAATAACTAAATGTGGATTCTTCAAATTTGAAGCCGTAATCATAAATCCACATTTTTCATTCCTTCAAGTGTTGTATGAGCTATTAAATATAATCATTACAAATTATTTTGAATAAACTCTCTCCATGGTTTCCACTAGATTCCACGAAATCCCAGGATCGAAGGTCTGTGATACCGCGAAATCAGTGGCCCATAGTTTTCGTGATACCGCATCTCTGGGATGAGCGAGGCTTTCGTCCGATTACCAATTTTAGTCAATTTTCCTTCTATGTTTTGTTCCCTAGTTATCTATTTTTAATTATGTTATTTTCTATCAAGGAACTTATATATGTTAAATTCTGACTTTTTTGAGACTTTAGTTTTGATTTAATGTACTGTAAAGATAGTAATATCTAATTTCTAGTGTTATGTCATATTCCTTTTGAAAGTAGTGTGTCTGTAGGTTCTTCGGAAAGAGGTGGAACATTCTCGTCATTCATATCACACCGTTTCATCAGCTGTCTCCCTGATTTCAGAAGGAACAACCATTGAACATCATTTATCCCCCTCCAAATGCCGTCGACTACCAATATTCTTACTCCTTACTGTTAAATCCGCTTCTCAAATACCTCCAAGGAGCTCTAGATTAGTGTCATTTGACATTATTTTAGGATTTTTGTTTCTGACACCAAAACCTAAAATTCATATAACCCAAATTTCCGCCAAAAAGCCGCCACTACACCAACCTCCAAAACTCCAAGCACTCGACCAATTATTGACAAATATTTTTCCCTACCGACCTAGCCCTAAACCTAAAACACATTCCTTTTCTATCAAAACTTCCATTGGAAGAATGAGACACAATAACATTAAGAAGAAATCACACTGAGCTGCTCGGGAGATCACTATGGAGGATATGTAGCGAGAAATTCATAAATTGCAATAAAGGCTTAGTGCTTTTGAGGAGATAATCGAAGAGGCCATACATAGAGTATAGCTACAACAAGAACTTATCAAATCGAGAAGACAAAGTGAATCATTTTCATCAGGAAGTCTCTAGTGAAGAAGAATCAATATTCTCGCGATTTCGCATAAAATATGAGAAGCAATAATTTGAAAGTAAATGTTGACTTGCAAAATTGTGATGGTTGTGTGAATCTAGATGAGTTCATCGAGTGACTCCAGATAGTGGAACATGTCTTTAAATTTAAGAACGTTCCATTTGATAAAAGAGTCTAGCTAGCCACTACTAAGCTAAAGAATAACACTTTCTTATAGTGGGAGAACCTAAAGTATTTTCAATAACCAGAAAGAAAAATAATGAAATCATTACCTGCTCCAAGATGAAATGAAAGCTACAATGCAAGTACTTATCAACACATTACAGACATAATGTGTTCTTGAAGGTTCACCATTTACAATAGAAAATCCTCTCAATAAAGTAAAAAAGTAAAGTTCGAGCAACTTATATTAAAATGTAAGCTAGTAGAGTACGAAGAGAATACGACATTTGGATATCTGGAGGGATTGAAATCATCCATTGGCAATGTGGTATACTTACAACCATATTAGACATTTCAGAATATTCAGAGACCCTTGCCCTGAAGAAGGAGAAATTACATAGTAGTATCAGGTTTACACCATCCTTCAAACATGGTTCAACTATCTAGTTAGGAAACAAGAGCACACATAGTAGAGCAACCAAGCTGATTGCACATAATGCACACTAATCCAAAGTGGAAAAAAAGGTACATACTGCTAGCACTCACAAATCCGTCATAGCCAAAAGGTTTCAAGTGCCACAAATTGGACAAATTATGCCTGATTACTCAAACAAGCAAGTCTTTTCTTCCATCAAGTAAGGAAAAGTAGAAAATATGGATAATGACACAAAAGACACTGGAGAAGTTTAGTACACATAAGAGCAATACTAGCTTCCAATTGATGAAAGAGAGAGAGAGAAGCTAGTAATCCAACGGGTCCTTCAAAATAAGCTTACGAGAGAGCAATGACTCCGCCATAACATCATTCTTGCATGTTGCATCATGAAGTGAAATTTTTGAGGACTCTTTATCAATGGGGCAATTGTAAAACTAAGATATCTACCCAAATGATGGATAATTTGAACCTAACCACACAGAAGCCCACACCACCTTATTCTCTTTCTTACTTGAAGAAAGGGAAAAAGATCACAATGGACAAGAGATGTTTTATACAATTCTCTATGAGAGAAGCTGCACAAGATTGTAGGTCATGCTATCATTGTTGTGGCTGAATACGGTACGAGCTAAGCTGGGTGGCTTGATGTTGCAACTTATGCACTTTTTCTTTGGCTTTCCGACGGGAATTTTGGAATGTGAGGATGATCTCCGAGAGGCGGCTTGGAGAGGGCTGAGTGAGAAGGTGGAATTCTTCCGCCGGTAGCAAGAGTGGCATAGTAGCGAGCCAAAGCGCTGGCAAAACAATGACCGTTGGCTGCTGGGATGATAGCTGGACGCACGTTAAGCGTGTTGAAGAAGAAAGGTAAAGGGGTTACCATCTCTACGATATTGCCCTGTCGGAGGCTACTGAGAACTTCGGATCTTGACTGGATAACGACGAGGTTTTCAAGATCAACTATGTTGAGCATCAGTGTTGCTAGGCGAGACTCCACACCTTGTGAGTTTATTTTCATTGTTAATAGATATTAATTAACAAAAAGATGACTCATGCTTGTAAGTTGAAGGTATATTTCTAATTATTATCTTTTACGTTGAGATAGATTTCTAATCGAAGTAGCAGACTTTAATAGAAAATGAAAAAGGCGATTATGTAAAATACCAGAAAAGTATCAACTATCTGAAATAAATACAAATGTAACTTCTAATAATGGAAAATCAGAGACAAGACCAAGATGGGATATTGAAACAAGGTTAGTCTAGCAACAACATATTTTTTATTTATTTTTATTGCGGAGAGTAGATGTTTTGGATTCAACTTATGTTAAGAAAGGCAGAGGTGGGCCTAGAAACATTTGGGCATTTTGTATAAAAAATGATCTTAATTTATTAGAAATAAATAAAAATATGACACTCAATATGACACAATAGAGAAAATGATTCATGTAACCAACCCCAATTAGTGGGATAAAGGCTTGGTGTTGTTGTTTTTATTGGGCTTTTATATATCAACCACCTAATATTTAAATATAACGGATTGACCAACCAAACATAAAATTTTACATTTAATTACCAAAAAAAAAAAACATCACCCAAAACTTTAAATATAATTAATTGACCAGTCTTGCTTCAAAAGAAAATAAATTTCTGGGTGGTTGAAATGTAAATTTTAAGTTTAGTTGGCCAAAATGTTATATTTAAAATTTTGAAAGATTGGTATATAAAAAACAAGTTAAAAAGTTAGGTGTAATGTCGTGTCAATGGATCCATCTCACATTCTTTTGGGCCAACAATGACATAATGACAAGGGTACACTTCATGATAGTTACAAAAACGCCTACTAATTTATCAAAGTCAAAAATAATATTGTATTTTGTCGTTGAAAGAGTCAACAATGATTGGTATTAAGAAAGAAAAGAAATTTAGTGTCATGTGTCACATCTCTACATGTTATGAGAGAGTCGTCAACAAAACTGACCTTGTGATGTTAGAAGACGATGTCATGAAAAAGTCGATATCAGAGAAAGTGCAACCCTTACAAGGAGAGTTTCAAAAATCTTTGACATACGGTCTAACCCACTAGTGAGAGTGATCCAGCATGCTAACACTTCACATAAAGAAGAAAAGTACTATGTGGAAAAATATATCTGGCAATTAGATCCCTGTATTTTTAGAGAAGAATAACCCTCTCCAAGCCGGAGAAAAATGACAACTTGTTGTCCGTTCCATGGGATACCACAAAACTACAAAAACGGAGGTACCGCGAAGCTGCAGAGTCAGATGACCCATGGTTTTTGCGATCCCACCAATTTATTCCCTTTTTGATTTTTTTCCTATATCTCTATTTCCAAGTCATGTTATTTTCTATTAGAGTATCTTTATATATATCTATATATATGTTGTATTATGGATGCTTCAGGATTTTGTTTTAGTTTTAGTTAATGTTGAGATTATAATATCTGATTTATGCTATAAGGAGTGATATATAATATTTCTTTTGCAAGTGACATGTTTGTAGTTTATGCTCGGGAATAGGTGGTGAACCTCCTCGCTATCCGTACCACACAGTTTTATCATCCACCTTGTGGCTTTCAGCTAGAATAGTTGTCAAACATCGTTTATCTCCCTATAAACTCCGTCCACCACCCATACTATCATTCCCTTGTAATTCTACAACCACTGCTATACTAAATCCACTTTCAAAACACCCTCTAGGTACACTAGAACAATGTCAATATTAGTTCAAATTTATCATTATCCTTCCTCATTTTTGAAAATAATCTTATTAATATAATGGATATATTTTCTAATTTTTTGCTATACACAATTTTGCCACTCAGCCTAGTAACAAATCTAATGGCTCATTAGAAAGGTATATAATAAAACTTATAGCCAAATATTACAATAAAATATATGGGATTAAATATCTTAAAATATTTGTTTAATTATTAAAATGAATATTATTCACGTTCTCTTATTGTTAGCAACTTAGATTAAAAGATTAAACTTCTTACATGACGAGATCAAGAAGGAAATATGGATTCCACCAAAATTTGGTTCAAAAATAAAACAGAGTATGCAAACTAAACAAGATATTTTATGAGTTGAAATAATTTCCAAGGGCATAGGTCTGAAAGTTCACCAAGATAATCCACAAGAAGGTAAAAGCAAAGTAAAAAAAAATTCTTTGTGAAATATATGACTTCAGGTGAATTCTTCAATCTAGTAATTTATGTTGATAACAACATTGTAATAGAAAATTACTAAGAAAATAGTGATTTTCAAGAAAAGAATGATCCCAAAATTTGAAGTTAAAGAATTATTCAAACTAAAGTGGTTCTATGACATTGAATCTGCACTCCTTTAAAGTGAAATCTTCAAAGCATGCTAAAAGAACATAATAAATCTGCTGAAAGAGATGGCTAAGTTGGATGCAATTCTGTTGAGAGTCTGATAAAATTTAATCATAAATTTGGAAATGTTTTAGAAGACGCAACAATAGAAAAAACAAGCTATCAAAAGTTTTGTAGAAAAAATATTTATTGTATATTAGACATAAAATTACCTACGCTGTTACGGTAGTGTATTTACTTCTATAATATGAAAAAAAGACTGGGTAAAGGAATTCTATTAAAAAAGGGAGACAATTTACCCTTGAATACATGGATATAGAATATGTAAGTTCTATTGTAAGCAAGAGGTGCCCGTTTTAAGATAGTGCACATTCATAAAGGCAATCTTTTGACTTGGAAAAATAGAAAAAAAAAAAAAGAAGATAAAATTTAGCATAAAAGTTAACTTTAGATCTATGAAACTATAAATCTACATTTCTATGATTAAAAGTTATTTAAAGATTGCAAATACAGGTCCTACGAGGCTCTGATGTGACAATTGAGTCATCAATACTATAAACAATCCAATGGAACAGACCAAGTAAAACATATTAAAATTAATAAAAAGTTTACAAAGAGGTAATTTAATAGTAGATTAATTTGACTCTGTTTGCCGACCCACTTAGTGGGATAAAGGTTTGTTGTTGTTGTTGTTCTTGTTACCAAAAACAAAGAATTTAGATTCTTAAGAAATTAGTTAGGGGGAGTCTTTTAGTAATTATCAAGAAAGATTAGAAAAGAAGAGCATTTATTCATTTGCTTCACATAGAGCATGATACGTTTGCATAATTTCTGCCAAATAGTACCCATAGTTATCAAAATTTCTGCTCTCTTTCCATCCTCACTTTTAGCCACCTTATAGATCCGTGAAATCCTTGTTGCCATCTTACATCTGTAAAACTACTGTCATTATTCTGTGAATATTATTTTCTGATTTTGAATGTATCCTATTAGAAGCTCTACTAGGATTGAGTGACTACTGCACAAACATTGGAAAAAAAAAAGGCTAAAATGATTTTCTCCGATTCGTTTCATCTATTGCCATCTATTATAGCGAGAAAATTGAGATAGCTGAAATTTGTAAAATCAACAATTTAGAAGTTAAAAAATTATTACTTTGACAAAACAAAAAATGAAAACATGTTCTTTTTATTAAAATTTGTGTTGAATTTAAGTTTGTATCATCAAGATTGGGAATATGTTGTTACTTGAATCACCAAGATTAGGATTATATTTTTACTAGCTGTAAGATGCCTTACGAATTGGATATTGGTTTCCTATTGCAGGCACAAATTACTCAGTTGAGTAACAAGAATATTAAAATTGTAGTCTGAAGGAAATTATCAGAACACACAAACCCAAAAGTTATGCATTTATATTAATAGCTTCATAGAAGTCTTAAATCAATTTTAGCTCACCACTTCAGTAAGCTGTGCTGGCACAGTGTTCGACTGAATCCAAATGGCTCCAAATGATATGCATGCACATAAAAGTAAAACTGGGCCGATTCTAGGATCTCTCGAGTAACCATGGATGACAATAGCAATGTGATGGATACTATTTTTTATTCCATTGCTGGCAGAGAACATACTCCTGGCACTCTTCGAAACAAAAGAAGTTGAATCCTCCGGAACCAGAGAAGGAGCTGCTCCAATCTGCATTTAAAAATAAAATTGCCAATTACCATATAGCCAGAAAAGTAGAGTACACGAAGGCTACTCACAAAATACAAAGCCTACATAACTTAAACTGCTGTACATTAGGTCAGGTTAAATCCGCTTTAGTCTTCTGCAGATGGTGTAGATGATAACATTTTGGATGCTACGGAGTGGTCTTGGAGTAGCATTACGTTTAAAGGTCAGAATCAAATTGCATAAATAGCAAACTTCATCACTTCTAGTATCGTTATATATTGCACTAAAGTATCTAACCACTGATAGAAATGGCTATCCAGCCTAGCACAGAAACAAATCATGGATTTATAGCTAAGACTGCCAGAAAATGCAACTAAATCAAATCAAATTTCAGCCATCAATAAAAAAAGAAAGAAGAGTTTAGAAATTGTATTTTCTAATTTCTCTAAACATGGTATAGACAAACTATATATTATAAGAGGAGTATCAAGAATCAAGGTGATTGTATTTGATATAGAACAATGATAGTTATGATACATCCCACATGGCCTCACTATACATATCAAACACATCAATGAAAAAGTTGCATAAAAACTAATCACCAAACCAAGTCCAAAGTATACAACAGCAACAACAACAACAAAGCTTTAATCCCACTACGTGGGGTCGGCTACATGAATCCTTTTTCTCCATTGCGTCCTATTTAGTGTCATATTTTCATTTAGTTCTAGTAAATTAAGATCATTTTTAATACAATAAGCCCAAGTCTTCCTAGGTCTACCTCTGCCTTTCTTAACACAAGTCGAATTTAAAACATCTACTCTCCTAATCGGATCATCTAATGGTCGACGTTTAATATGACCAAACCATCTAAGACGACTTTCTCTAATTTTGTCTGTCACAGGAGCTACACCAACCCTATCACGAATATATTCATTCCGCATTTTGTCTCTAAGTGTAAAGCCACTCATCCACCTAATCATTCTCATCTCGGCAACACTTAACTTATTATTATGCTTCTCTTTTAAAGGCCAACATTCAGCGCCATAGAGCATTGCAGGTCTCACCACCATCTTATAAAATTTTCCTTTCAGTCTTAGCGGTACTTTTCTAACACACAAAATGCCCGAAGCATTCCTCCACTTCAACCAACCAACTTGAATTCTACTATTAACATCCCCA